CGTTATTTTGTATGCTAATTAAAAAAAACATTTAGGGAAGACTGTTGGGAAATTTTATCATGTGGACACATCAGGGCCACTGCACTCATGAACCACTTATATGGTTGCCTACATAAGACCTACATAAGATCAAGTCAGTCAGCATTCCAACATAGATACATGGGGAAGCTTTGGCAGCCAAAGTCTATCAGGGAAGTGGCCCCTGTTTGGATGTCCATGTTCCACTGGATGACCCCACATCAATGCAAATAAAGAGCACTGAATGGACTCAGTGGGCTATGAAAAGAGGACATGAAGTTGAGAGGGGGTTGTAGGAAGGGTTGTAGGGAGGATGGGGGTTGGTATGATGAAATTCTCAAACAATAAAATTTTTTAAAATAAAATTTAAAAAACTACAATGAAGCTAATATCAACAACAACAACAACAACAAACAAGTCCTAAGACACTCTAAGCCATATCACATTAAAACTAACCTCAGGCACCTTGATATGGGTAAGGCAGAAGAAGCCACAAGCTAAAATTGCTATGGTTGGATATGAAATGCCCTACAAAGAATATGTGTCCGCAGCTAGTGGTGCTATTTTAGGAGCTTAGGGAAACTTGAGGAACTGGGCCTTAGGAGAAAGCAGACCACTGGGGTATGCCTTGGAAGGTTCTTCCTGGTACTGGGTCCTTTCCTCATTCCATGCTTCCTGTCCACCATGAAGTGAACAGTCTCTTCTTCCATAAGCTCCTGCTATCGTATTATTTTTCATCATGGGTCCAGTATCAACAGAGCCAAGGAAAATCTCTGAAACCATGATAAAAATAAATCCTTCCCTTAAGTTGTTCCTGTCATGCATTTCATGGCAGTGACAAGAAGTAGCAGTTTTTAAAAAATAGTATGAACGAGAATGGAATTTATTTATGCCACACAAGAAACTTGAAGAGACCTGGGACTTTAATGCAAGAAACTAAAAATTGGGGGTGGATTTATCATTCATATGGAACAAGGTGATCTGTACCCCAAATCCTCCTTTTTCTTAAATAGAGCATATTCTCAGCAAGACCATTATTTAGAGATACTTTGGGGGAAATTCAACAGTTCCAAAGCAAAAGATTTCCTGTACCAACGTTTTAGGCTACTTCAATGAAACAGTTGTCTTGTTGCCTATTCCCTAAAATAGAACTCAGCCAATTGCCAAGACTTGCCCAAGTACATTTGTGAACCAGTTTTAATAGTTTAAGTCTGAATGTACAACTTAGGATCAGTACATGTAAACAACAATCCTCTAGCACAAATGAAAAAACAGATATAAACAGAAGAGAACTCCAGAAGAGACAGAGACAGAGAATTTGGACTTAAGCTACTTAAAAATACCTTCAGTCGAGTTGTTGGCTAGGACAGATAAAGGCTCTTCCAGACAGTAACCCAACATACTACTGGAAAAATGAACAGCAGACCCCAATTCTATCCAAAGGAATACTGACAATGGATTGCCGTAGATGAGGAACAGCTGACCCTCCTGGAACAGGGACCTCTGGCTGACTAGATTTACCAGAAGGGCAGACAGGGG